TAAAAGTTTTCAGTGGTCTTAAACTTGTTTCTCTTTCCTACAGCAGTTTTAATACGATCCACCCTCTCATAACTGTGAATGAATGGTATTAATGGCATTATATTTGGTTGATGTCAAAAAGTTTGTCAAACTATAAAACAACAAGAAAGATTTTTGTTAAGTAAATATTAGGGCTTTACTTTCTTACATTTTATTGGCAAATGTTTGGCTGATATCTGACCGTGTTCATCTCGGTCATTTATAATAAATTATTCATAATTTTAGAAGTCATAACACTTTGAGATGATCCACTAACAAGGTCCTCGACCTCTTACTTTGCATGTCTTTGGATCCATTGTTTCAAAGCTGAATGAGCTGACTTTGGCTTTTTTGTCTATCCATCAAAGTTTCTGATTTGGTGTGTGATATATTTTGACTCCTAGTGTTTCCACTTTGTTAATTGTGTGTAATTGAGCTAAAGCTGAGCTGCTGTGAGTTTATTGACTGTTAGTGCTTTCTGAGTGACCACATGGTGTCAGCACTGATAAATGTAGGAATTCGTGTGTAGAGTTTTGCAGTAACAGTTCACTACATCTGACTCATGTGGTAAAGCAGGGGCATAGTGGGAGGGGCAGCGCATGCACCACAGGTGTGAAGAAGCACTGATTAGTGTTCCAGTTTCAAAATAAAAGCTGCCAGAAAGCAAAACATGGTCCTTTTTAGTCTAAAATGTCAATGTTTCAAACCATATTCCAGGGTTCTTAGTTCACCATTTATGAGGTTTCCCAAAAAAGTAAAAGACAGATCTGAATGTTTGAAAATGTTTTTGAAAAAGTCTGTAAAGATTAGATGAAAAATTCTCAAAGGATAAATTAAGTTAGTTTATTCTTTTGTCACATAAGTTGAAAAAAAAAAGGTTAAAGAAACAGTCAGGACTGGTTGGGGATGAAGGTGAAAAAAGAAAAAGGATGAAGAAGGAAGGGGAGAGGTGTTAGAAGATACAGGGAGAGAGGGCAGAGGAAAGCTGAAAATTAAGATGGAAGGAGGAAGAAGAGGCTACATCAGGTGAGGAAGCAGCAGTGTCCCTCCTCCAGAAGGAACGGAAGCATTTTTTCTGCTTTTTCAGGCACTTTTCCATCAAACAATCATGGCTTCCATCATCTGGCTATGTGCGCTTTTTCCTCCAGGTTGAGGGTTTTTGAACTCATCGATTGTTTCGCAAGACTCAAGATTCAAAGTGTTCATTGTCATGGGTACAGAAGAAGTAAAATTTTTCTGTGCAATGAAATTCTTGCTTTGCTGTCAATACACAAATGCCAGTTAAGTAAGGGTTAAAGGAACAAAATAAATAAGGGTAAAAATAAGATAAGATATTAAGATAAATACAAATGTAAAAAAAATAAGGATAAAAAATAATGAAAATAAATAAATAAGTATAAAAATAAGTAAGTGAAGACAAGTGAGGTATGCAGATGTCGATGTAGATGGATGTACAAAGTAGCTTAATGTGCAAAGTGTCCTGATATGCAAATTGCAGTTGAGGTAGGTCAGCTGTTCAGGAGTCTGATAGCAGTGGCAAAGAAGGAGTTGTTGAGTCTGGATGTTCTGGATTTCACACTTCTAAACCTTCGTCTCGAGGGCATACGTGTGAACAATCCGTGTTGAGGGTGTGTGGGGTCTTTAAGGATGGAGGCAGCTCTCCTCTGGACTGTGATGGTACATGCTCTGCAGAGAGGGCAGTGGAGTCCTGATGATCTCCGCAGTTGTTATCACTCTCTGCAGGCGTTTGCGGTCCATAGCAGTAGTACTGGTATACCATGCAGTGATGCAGCTGGTTAATGTGCTCTCCACAGTGCAGCTATAAAAGCTACTGAGGATCTTGGCCAACATACCAAATTTCCTCAGCCTCCTCAGGAAATACAGCCCCTGCTGACCGTTTTTGACCAGCTGTGTGGTGTTCCGTGTCCAGGTGAGGTCCTCATTGATGTGGACGCCCAGGTACCTAAACCTGGTCACCCTCTCCAGTTCACTCTCCCGGATACACATCGGCTGGTGAGGCCTCTTCTTCTTCCTCATGTCCACTATCATCTCCTTTGTTTTATTACGCTTAAGGGTAAGGTTGTTGTCCTCACACCATGACACCAGACCGGCCACCTCTCTCCTGTAAGCCGCCGCGTCCCCACCAGTGATGCGACCAATCACTGCAGTGTCATCCGCCAACTTCAGTATGCTGTTGTCTTTGTTGGAGGCAACACAGTCGTGGGTGAACAGGGTGTAGAGGATGGGACTGAGGATGCAACCCTGTGGTACGCCAGTGTTTGTGATAATAATAACTGAGGTGCTGTTGCCGATCCTGACAGACAGAGGCCTGCCAGTCAAAAAGTCCTGTAGCCAGTCATAGAGGGTGGGGTGCAGGTCGAGTGTAGACAGTTTGTGGATGAGTTTGTGAGTGTGTTGAAGGTGGAGCTGTAGTCAACAAAGAGTACCCTGATGTAGGAGTCATTACTCTCCAGGTGGTAGAAGGAATAGTGAAGGGCAGCAGCAATGCCGTCCGACGATAGCAGCACCCGAAGCAGTGCCGAAGTGTTTAAGTGTTCACCGGAGTTTGCACCCTTGGCAAGCGGACTGAGGTATGTGATGAGAGGTGATCTGTTGTTATATTTTATTTAACCGAACTGTGTAACCCCTGTTTGAAACCCCTTTTGTTTTATTTAATCTGTGACTGTATATCTCAGAATTACTTGTTTGAACTTACCTGAATTAACTTAAGCTCATTGTTGTTATTGCTCATTGTTATAGTTCAAAAGGACTGTACAGCTATCAATTTTTTCTTATTTTATAGTTTTCACGGTGCTCAACGTCCAGAGAATGAGCCGTGTGTGGTGAGGAAATAAATGGCTGCACCCGTTAGAGACTCTTCTGTCGTTCTTGATGCCAAGGGCTGCTACAGGGCCGGTAGGCATACTGCAGGGGATCCAGAGTGTGTGCAATATTGCTCTTAATGTAGGCCATCACCACTCTCTCAAAATCACTTTGCAATGATTGGAGTGAGTGTAACAGGTCTGTAGTCGTTTAGGCAGGTGGCTGGGCTATTCTTGGGGACAAGGATGATAGTTGTGGTCTTGAAGCATGTGGGAACAATGCTCTGGCTGAGGGAAAGGTTGAAGATGGAGGTGAGAACATCAGCCAGCTCGTTAGCACATGCTCTAAGGGCTCGTCCAGGGATGTTGTCTGGTCCTGCTGCCTTGCGGAGGTTGATCTTCCTCAGGACCTTGTGTACTTGGTCTATTGAGACCGCTGGCAGGAGAGAGGGTCAGGTGATCTGGGGGTTCTGGAAGGTCTTGGAGGTCTGGGAGATCTAGGAGGTCTGGCGGGTATGGGAGGACTGGAAGGTCTGGGAGGTCTGGGGGTCTCAAAGCTGGTGTAAAACACGTTGAGATCATCTGGCAGTTGGCATATATCACAGCATTCAGGGCCTTTATAAGAACAGACAAAATTACTAAACTGAATCAATTTCAGCTTTCATTTTTTATTATGTATATTTTAGTAATAATTACATTTCATTATCTGTATCTTTACCAGACATTTGCCACACAGGTGTAGATACTGTAAGTGCAGCTCTCTTCACCTACCTAACTCTTCCTTTGCACTGACAGTCACACACAAACACATTGTATTCAACTAGAAAATCACGAAAAACATAAACTTACAGCTTTCACAAAAATATCGTCAATGAATGTGGACAAAGCAGAAGCTATGGTTGACTCTGACATGTCGATTCTTGCCAGTTTCTCTTTGCTTTCTCTCTCTTGTTGAACAAGGAGTTGGCTGAAGAAAACCTGCCAGTGAGGAGGTTAGGTTCAGACTCTGTTACCCTGGTAACTGACTCAGAGTTAAAGTTTAACTTAACTTTCTGGAACTGAAAAACCCGAGTTTCCCTCATCTCGGGAATAACAAACTTGGACTTAGCTAAACCTGCTTCCTAGAATAGCCCCAGTAATGAATCTCCAATGAGCTTAAAACATGTTGTGGATGAGAGAAGCAGTGAAAACACAGCACTTCAAGCCGGAGAAACTCAGAACATAACAGGCTCTGTTTTAGTTTATAATCTGTCAGCTGTGGACTCTGTGACAGTAAAGACTAACTATTAAAACATAATGTTTTATGAGCATACTTTAATGCGTATATAACAATAACAATAAAATAATTCATTATTAAGTTGCATTTTAGAATCTAGACAAGCTGGGATACATTAACAATGCTGGGAAATAGTCTGAAAGTTTTACACCAAACTTACAAATAAAATGCCATTTGCCACTCAAAGGTTTCCATTTGTCTCTGTGCCACTTGGAAATGGGTTGAGCAGCATGTACCGTATGTACGGTTACTGAGATACTGTAACACATCCTGACTAACCTGTTTGTCCTGTGAAGAGAAACTAAAAGTCAGGGTTTTTTCCTCACAGTTGAGCAACCACACAAGGCTGTTTATCGTTTTGGGGGGGGATTTCTTCATAATATAATTTTAGAAACCTCAAAGATCGTTTATGTTTCCACATTGTAAATCTTTCCAATTGGGAGTAACCATATTTATAGTTATCAATTTCTTATTCAGCAAATACCTCAATATATCCTTTGGGTTACTGTTTTGCACTCAACGATCTATTAAAAGATTAAAAAACTTCACAAGAAACAGAAGACAGCCACAGGTGTTAGGCGTCCTGCTCACATTAACTAAGGCTCTATAACAATGCGATCTTAAATCATGACATCTTTATTGAAATGACGTGATTAAGGGTGAGGTGTCGTTTCAGGCAACAGTTCTCGTATATTAGCTTCTTTTTAAAAAATTCTCCATGATACTTTTCAGGATTTTATTTTTTACTGGGCTACAGGGCTGTCCTAACGCATCTGTGTCCTATACCTGCCAATATGGTCCTCCTGACCGCGCCTTTAATCTTTACCTTGCGTAAACACTCCCTCCTTGCTGGCACACTTTCACAATTAGGAGTCAACAACAACTAGCTGAGCTTCAGTTAACACCCCAGGATTGAAGGTTTCAGAGCGTCACTGTAGGGCAGCATGTCCGTATCAACAGGCGCGGCCCTTCTGTGGATTTTACTTCTTACATTCACTGTCTCCACCGTGTCAGGTAACCTGAAACTTAAATATGAACCAGTGGGAGAGATTTGGTGTGAAATGTTGGTGAGGTGGTGGATCTGTCCGTTAAATACTGACACTAATGTCACTCAGAAGCTGAAAACAGCTGAAGCAAGAAAATCCCTTTCAAGAAGCTCTCAGAGCGTGAGTGTCAGGTGATACTGAGTACGGCTGTTTTCGGTAAATCGCCACGCCATATA